GGCACATAGATATATTGTTTTGAGAATGTTGGAGCACCTGATAAGCCCCAGGTCTCCTATTTCTGCATATGTGTGTCTTTTTTTTCAGCTCGAACCTGAAGCCAGTTTACTTGTTCACATGGAGGCATTCTGAAATCCTGATACTCCCTCCCCGTGCTTCAGGGTTAGACCTGTATTTATTGTACTGGACTGTAACCCAATCTATGTATTACGATGCGTCACAAGACGACTTACCATTTTCCATTCAAATTTCACAAGCAATCACCTCATGTTTTACAACGCATATCGTATTTGACGCCTACAAAACCGACCCATGTAGCTAGCTAGAAGCCCCAATGCAAGCCATTAGTAATGGCTTGCATTGGCCCATTACAACAAGCCGAACAAGTATCACTTTCTTAACCTCTCCGGTTCAGGTCAGATGTGCTTAATTGCATGCCTCGTCGCTCGCAAGGCCGTCCAGTACTATCAATATTGGCGAGATCTAAGCCATTGAGAAGCGTATTCCGCTTAATTTTACTGTATATCTTTAAACTCTTACGACTTAGTTCCCGGAAAATATATATATCCGATCCCTGGTTTTCAGACCGCTATTCCGGAATGATCTCTGTATTTTACAATACGACTATAAGAATGAATGAATGTGTCCCACACGAAAGTGTTGACACGCTCGCTACCCTCGTTTCCACCCTTTTGTCTTCCAAGCCATCAATATTTAGGATCAGTCCAAACGACGTGGTTCCACATTTTCCTACTGTAACATCGTGTATTCAATTGGCCAAATCAATGATCTATTTCAGACACCCTTCATCCGGACGGCATTTCGAATCTCATGATACTGCGGGCGTATATAAGCCCTGCATGTCATTCTAGGAGGCAGCGGAAGGCCGAAATATGAGAATTTCAAGCCCGCAGTTATATATATTGTATTATTTTAGTCCATAGGCAGAACGATAAGCTTAGTATTAGCAATGGTATTATAATACCAACGATCTGCTCGCTTGGCGTGGCCTTGAAATATTACTGGGCCGCACGGGCCATGTGCTTGACAATGGACCATGACCACCCACCATAAATCCGCCTCCCTTCTAACAATAAGGACGGGCATTTGCACGCCAGAGCAGAATATCTTCAACTGCTGGCCTAGATAAATCCGATGCTGGTCTCGGCGTCACAACTGTTCTCATGATAGCAGCAAGCGCAGATGATTGTGAGCCATATTACCTGAAGGCAGGAAGAAAATACCTCGATTACCCTACAGTAAAACCACGAACGCCTTATAATGGTGGCCATGACGGCGATGATTTTAGGAACTAGTCTTGCGGTAGGATTGACGGATGGAAAAGAGTAGGTCGATTTTGTGGTTTGCCGCGTCCCTCCCATTCTCATTTTAATGATCATCATTGCAGGCAAGATCTCCCAATTCTCAGTGGCAATGCTGGGCCCTGGAAAGGCGATCTTACTTGGTATGACGTGGGACTCGGGGCTTGCGGGACCTGGACCCAGAACTCAGACCTGGTTTGCGCTGTCTCTCATGTAATTTATGATGCTGCGGCGTTATCCACAAATCCGAACGACAATCCTTTATGCAAATTGAGATTGCGATTGTGGCACGATGGGAAGAGTGTGGATGTTCAGGTCGTGGATCGATGCGATGGTTGTGAAACGACAGATATAGATGTCAGCCCAGGGGCGTTCCAGGAGCTCGCTAATTTAGAAAAAGGCCGAGTCCCTCTGACTTGGCAATTGATTTCAGACTCTTCAGAGGCAGTTAATAGTGGCTCGTGCCATTGAGTTGTCATGGTAGCCATTGTACTTATGTATTGAACAACTCGGCTCCGCTTGTGATTACTATCTTTGAAAATTAGATACCATGTTCCAATGTAGGAGATATAGCGTAGTCATGTGGGATTGAAAAAGGACGTTAAAATCTCATGTGCTAGGGCTGGCTGATTTTTGAAATTCATTGTTTTGCATAGGGTAGTGGGGGACATAGTCCTCCTCACCACGTATTAGCCTTGCCTGTCCTTCCCTTTAACTATTCTTTTGCAGTTTTGTTGTGTAAGCATTGATGAACAGAGGCTATAACGTAACAGATAGTTACAGATCGATAATAAACACCCCTACACCTCTCTGAATTCACTACTTGGACTGACGTCCCAGTTCTCTTTGTATGCCTCGGTTGGTATGATGCTGAATTACGAGTGCTGAATCGACCCGTATACCAGAGAGTATACTGCCTAGAGCGTTCTCCTCTTCAATAGTTAGATCGCTATTTGAGGATAAGATCCGATATCTTGGATACACAAGCTAGGGCAATCGCAGCCCTGTGAGCTTACCACTAGAGAATGGAAATCTATGGAGGCCGTCATACTAGCTTGGCCAAGTATTGTTGTGCCATAGTTGCTTGCTTCCCGCACTAAAAGTACTCTTGGAAGAAGTGGCAATAAAGGGTATTTTTCCCCATTACAGTACTCAGTAATTAAAGCTATCATCCAATGCTGAAAATTGAGGTACATCACAATCTCCCCCTTCTCAGTAGACCACTTTCTGGTATTATTTAATCAATACATTAACTATGGCCAAATTGAGGGGCTAACCTGCTATACAAAGGTATGCTCTCTAAGGTCAAACTCTCCCAAATCCTTAAACAATCCATATTCTTAATTGCTAGAGCACATGGCTTTTCATTTGTTGAACCTAGCTTTTAGAGACAACCTACCTGTCTTGGTCTCGTGAAGATTCCTGAGGCACCAAAAGAAAATCAAGAATCCAAATATTGAAATTAACTTCAATAGTATTTTGAGTGTATATGAGCGCATACAGATAGCAAAGTTCGCAATTTGAACTCAAGCGCCCTCGGGACCTTCTCTGCTGGCTCACACTCCCATTCCTGCCTAAAATTTGGCTCAGATCCCACACAAGAAAGTGGGTACAGGTATTTCGGATTGATAAGCCGCGATTAAATGATCTGAGAGGGTGACAGCTGCCGTCATCACTAGACAATGAGCTGCGAAAAGGCTGATTTGATAGTGGGTAAGATAACCTGCTCTCTCAGGCAGCTTTAGAAAGTACACAAGTCCACCCATCGCATTATAGATAGAGTACTTCAGATACTCGGGAGCGAGATTGTAGCGACATGCTGAGGGCAGCCAGCTTGCATAAAGTGTAGGTACAAGGGCTAATAACCCGAGGACAAAACATCCACATTCGAACTTCCATTGTCCTGGAACCTTACACGCGAGTTGCGCAGCCCACACAAAGCCAAATGTCATGGAAAGGATAAGAATCATAATCAAGAAGCCAGTCTGATAGAACTGATAATATAGAAAGGGTATGGATGAGGTCCAAATTAAACCCAGCAATGCAACATCTCTAAAACACTTGAGATCTGCAGACGAGATCCGATGAAGGACAGTGATAGAGCTGAATATCAAATTTCCAAGGAAGAAGTAAAGTATTGGTAGGAAATCGAATATTCGATTGCTGATCTCAGAGGAAGACGAATGTAACAGTTCAAAAACAAGTCGAGTAGACAACAGAACAAAGTAAGTGATTGTTCCAGTACTTAATAAAATGATAAGTCCATCGCGAGGGTTAGTGATCGGTTGGTATTTGTTCATATTGGAATTCAATGAATATTGGTCGTTGTGTAGTCAGATGCTGTTCTATTCAAGTGAGCTTTTGAGCGTGGCTAGAAGGTAGTGATAGCCTTCCTTAAGTACTATTCCAAAGTTATGCCATTTAGAACCGAGGTGAGCTTGATAGTTAAGCAATCGGTGGGGCAACATGAACTTAGGAGTCCAATGAAAAGTAAGATCTTGTAGGGTGATATCCCTTCGTTCTTTCTTTCTTTTTTTTAAACAAAATGGTGAGTGCACAGATAGACCACTAAAAAAAAAACACGTTGCACCGGCGGTCGTTCCTAACATCACAGTCACGCCTCACTTCGTTATCTTATGCGAGGCAGACGTATCTAAAATGTGTTTTGCAGGCGATGATCCCGTGGGTATACTATTTGCACTCGACTGAGACTGGGTAGAAACCCAGGTTTCGCCGGAATGAGATTGCACCATGAACGTTCTGACTAAGGGAGCCTTCTAGTTCAGTAGATAAAGCCTGTACAATGTTTGAGTTGGGGATATGCTGAATTAGTTGCCTTTGAGCCAGAACTAGTATCGCTTGGAGATACTGCGCCTGCGGGTACATAACGAAGGTGGAGATGTAATGAACGCAGTGGCGGCTGGGGAAGAGAATTCATGTGCCTCTGTTACACGACTGAGGGTATACCTATCGGTCGATGCAATATTTTGCTCACTCAATGGCTCCAAGTCAAACTGACAAGGACTAGAAGAGACAAAGTCAGTTTCTGTACTGTTCTCGTTTCTGAGTTCCTGTTCAACCCGGTCATTCAAGCCAGTCAACTAAGAAAATGTTTAATGAAAATGTTGATCACACTCAGCGCGAGAAGGGAATGTGTCACTGGCTCTGCTTTCCGTCCAACGAGATAAGAGCAACTAGCCTACTCGCGCAGGCCCCAGAACGGTCTCGTGGTCTAGATTGGTCTCGGCACGTTGCCGCCGGCGGTGACTAGCAAGGATGGTATTCAAGGATGTAGAACTCGAACGGACCAGGAAGCAGCAGACGAGATGGCAATGATTGTAAAATGGGTGGCCGCACATTTAGTGGTAAACACCGACTAGAAAGGTTAGTGGCTCCCATTCCTTTGTGGGAAGGTAATCTGATCAACCCCTCTGTTGCTAGTAAAGGATTCGCGAGGCTGCTTGTCACTATCGACTATCATAACACTCTTCGGGTATGACAAGACAACTTCCTCTTCCACCGAAGGCGGCAACGGTATTGAATAATATAAAGCTCCTCGTGGGTAGTAAGGAGAAGGTTGTGAGTAGAATCCATTTTCCAAATTCGCTTGGTACTTACACCTCATACTACAGAAACGCTTCTCTCAAAGCCATGATGAATGTGAGATAAAATGCAACATGGCCAAAGACATCTTGATTGAACTTGTCAAGAAATTAGAGGCCGTGAAATGTCACTATCAAATTGACCCCAGACTTGGGGCCCGATTGAAGGCTTTGGCTATCGAGTTGCCAGTATTAGAGCCAGTCAATAGAGGAGACGACGGACTATCTATGGCCCAAAATCCATCAAGCAACGATCTGCGCTCCTCCGCCATGAGCAACGGGCAGCCCCAAGATTCTGTTGTCCATCAACTGCAGCTGCACTCAACCCATTCTTCATTCAACCAGGCTCAGCCCTCGGTACAGAACGTGAGCCAGTTCCCATTTAACAGCGAACACTTGCTGTCGGAGACCAACTGGTCAAAGTCAATGGACCCTGGCCAGATGGAACCGGCTGTACTGAGCGCAGGTTGGGCACATAAATATCGGGCACCCTCGGTGCAACAAGCGGTGGGTAGTGTGCCTATTCCACAGGGAACGCAAGCGGGTGCGCCGATCCCACATGCCGACGTCGAGAAACTTCCAACGGACGAGTTTGATGTTGGTGATGAGCCATGGAGTATGGACGAAATTCTAAGGTGGTAGGAAGCGACTATGTCATGTGTTACTACTTGGTGGGGCTATTGTCTTGTTTTTTTAATATTCAATGGCACTCGCCTGTTAACTACCCGAATGATATAATGCAATCGCCTTTTAGACTTGTCTTGAAGTGGATCCATCCGAAGTCGGGTTGAAGATTCCCAGAATGACAACTATATTGTATCATGTCTGATGCGTACTGGAGTAGCTGGCAAGATTCATGAAAGAAACCGGTAGTGACGCACAGAAACTGCAGCAGGAAGAGCTAAAGAGTTGAGGCTTGTCAATGATTGTGTTACTGTGCGGGCACCTCTCGTCAGCCGCCCACATAACTAACTAAGGTAACTAACTAACTAACTAACTAGTTAGAGCTACCGGAATAGAATTACATAATAAAATCGGCTGCATTTCCCTTTTACTCATCTCAATATACCTATTTACTTTTCGGGCCTTTCTTCACGCGAGCAAATCACTTTCATGAAATTATATAGCGAGATGAATGACAAAAGTAGTCTTTAGTAGTCACTTACGTGGCTACAGGGGATTCCAGTCCCAATTGGTTCCGTTTCTGTTGTCAAATGGTCGTTTGGGAAATGTGACCATGCTCTCTGGTTGATGGAGGTGACTGGAACAATGACCAAGAGACGGTAGCGTTGGAACACATACTAAAGACATGTAGTCTAAGACACTGGGCCTACGCACAACGACTTTAGCCCGAAGTTCCAGAGTACAGTACTGAAGAGAGGCCAGGTCCGGAGACCGCGGTCAACTAAACTGTAACTAACTAGTTAGTTAGTGTCTGAACTGATTATGTCACAGATGTCTGCGGCTTTTTTCTTGGAGCGCACAGCAATCGGACAAGGTCGAGGACTGCTTTGCGAGTTACTTGTCAAGCCAAATTATGCTTTAAGCCAAATCTTGTGATAAGACAAAGACAGATTCAGAGAGGTAGGATATTTTCTACAAAATGCCTTTCAACATGACTTCTTACAGTCTGTGTGTGTGTGTGTGTGTGTAATTCATTTACGCTGACCTCTCGTCGAAACGATATACAGCCTACCACTACTATATATATCTTCCTATGTACATGTATCGTGTACCACTTCTTAAGCGAACTTAGAGCCTCGCCGAGGCCTGTCATGGCCTCTGTGCCGTGGTTATATTCATGCTGCCCTCATGGCGCGCGGCTTTGAAACCGTTGCGATGCTTCAGCGAAGTCCAAGACAGCCTCCACTGTCTTGGTCCGTGAAGCGCTGTCAATCTTACCTCTTCCTTCCTCTCCTGGTCCCCCCAACAGTGTTGATATGCTGTTGAAAGCGTCGCCAACCTTTCCTCGGAGCTCTCTCCTTAACATTCCCAATCTTGGGCAATCTAACAACACGTGGTGAACGCTTTCCCGTTCGCCACAGACGCACAGATCGTCGTCTCGGAATCGGAAAGCCTTTGCGTATATTGACAACCAGCAGTGTCCGGTTCGCAACTGCGTTAATAAGTACGCTCGATTTCTAGGCAGAGAGCCGTAGAGCCGTCTGGTGTACTTGGCCGGTAGTGAGTCGTCGATCTGACGCAGATGGGCGCCGGTGCTCGACTCGTTCCATTCTTTCTTCCACTGGGCGTGGATCCCTTGTCTGATGTGTGCTCTCTCGCGTGATAGCAGAAAGCAAAATGGGTGCGTTTTCCCCGGTATGGCGGCCTCTTTGGCCAGCAAATCGGCGGTGTCGTTCCCGGGCATCTCGCAATGTCCAGGTACCCACTGTAGTCGAATCGATGTGCCGTGTGTCTTGGTGTTCCTGGCTGCTTGCAGAATGGCATGGATGATCTGTTGTCCCGACTTGTTCCTGGGATTCTGGACTGCTTGCAGGGCCGACTTGCTGTCACTGAGGATAGTGGCAGATCTCACCCGCGTATGGGAAGTTCTCCAGTGTCGGAGGGCGACCTTGTTGATGACGTTGATGGCATATAGGATCCCAATGAGCTCGGCAGCGTGGACGGACCATCGATCCATGGGTCCAACCTGAACTTGTATGCTGTCGGATGTTTCTAGCGAGTCATTCAGCACGGCCGCTGCGGCACCCAGATGACCTTCTCGACCCGAGGCATCCGAGTACACCACGATGTCCGCGGTTGACCGTGCAGCCTCGGCCCTTTCTATCGCGACCTCCCTGTCTGATTCAATCTCGATTTCCGAGAAGGCTTCTGATCGCCATGGTGGTAGCGGGGTTGGGTCAATCATTTCGATTTCCTGCAGTCTCTCTAGGTTCATGGTTTTCAAGGCTTCCGATAGCGGGAACCGAGCGAACGATCCACGATTGTTGCGTCTTCTCTGGGCCCGACGTAGGGCACTCCATATGGGATGTTTTTGGGGTAGGGTGTGCAGTCTAGTGATGGTATTTTGTGCGCGGTAGCGCAGACGAAGGTGAGTTGGCAGTACATGTGCTTCTACGTCAAGAGTGGCTGTTGCAACCGTTCGAAAAGCAGATAAGACGCGGATGAGAGCCGCCCGTTGCACAGTACGGAGGTGTCGTAGATGGGTCTTGTCTCGAAGTGGGTCATGCCAGACGGTCGAGGCGTAGTCGACAACCGGTGTGACGCACGCTTCGTAGAGCTGTCGCATTTGCTCTGGGCGGAGCTGTCGCAGCCCCCCAAGCGCGATATTGACCTTGGTGGCTCGTTTAATGGCTTGCTGTACGTGTTCTTTCCACCGAAGCTCATGGTCGAAGACTACCCCCAAGAGTTTGGCGGTCGTAGATGGCTTGATAGCATTACCATTCATGATAAGCTGGCCCTGGCTCTGTTCTTTTCTCTTCCGGGTGATATGAATAAGTTCGGTCTTTTCCGCAGCGAAGCAGGACCCAGTTCGCCGGGCCCAGGCTTCGATCCGGGGGATGTCTTCAGACTGGATTTTGGCCAGGTTCTCTTCAGCGCTCCAGCCGACTCGCCAGCGGAAGTAGTCATCGATAAAGGCGGATGCCCCACCGTGAAAATCGACCGGCTGGTCGACTAGATCGCAGTTGAAGAATGCGAAGAGGATAGGTGACAGTGGGGAGCCTTGCGCGAGCCCGGCATTGTCTAGCGGCACCACCTCGGTTTGGTAATCGTCGAACCCAATGCTAGCCTGGCGCCCGCTCATGAAGCTCGCAATCCATGTTCGCGCTACCGAGGGGATACCCTTGCCTTGGAGGCGAATATCCAAGCTTGTCTTGTTCACCCCGTTAAAGGCTCCCTTCAGGTCAAAGGCCACCAGTGTGACGACCTTCTGTCTGTACCATGCCCGGTCGATTGCGTTAGCAAGCATCAGGAGGGCTTGCTCGGTTGTTCGTCCCGGGCGCCCTCCGAACTGAGTATCCGGTAGAAGACCGTACTGCTCCGCGAAGAAGGACAGCCGCCGGGCCATCACCGCTTCCAATAGTTTCCCGAGTGTGTTAAGTAGCGAGATCGGGCGATATGCTCCCGGTAGCGAGTAGTCTGGTTTCCCGGGCTTCCGTAGGACTACAATTCGTGCGCTTCTCCATCGCTGTGAGTGGTATCCTAGTTCAATCGACGACGTGAAAATCCGAGTGATTATGTTTCCAAGATATTTCCAGAGACGTTTCCAGATCAACGTGGGCAGACCGTCCTCGCCTGGTGCTGTTGTGCCTTTGGCAGCCTTGAGCGATCGATAGATTTCAATCTCGGAGATTGGATGCCATCGGATCTCGGCGGGGGCGTGAGCAGGCGCCTCCTCTTGCGCAGGCGCCATCGACGGGAAGAACGAGCCCCTGAACGCCTGGGCTTTCTCCGCGTTGTCAACTAGCTCCCTGTCGCCGACTTTGAGGGCCGGAAGGCAACCCCAGGAGTCTCGTGGTTTCATGTATGTCGCTGCTTTCCATAGTTTCCCTTCACCGGCTTCGTCTAGGAACTGCTTCCAATGGGATGTCTTAGCCTTCTCAATGGTCCTCGTCCATGCCCGCCGTGCCTGGCGCATGTCCTCGAACATGGCCACGGTGCGGGAGTCGGCTCGTCCGACCTCAGCGCAGCTCTCTTGCCACTTGCGTCGTAGGCGGTTCACATCTTTCTGTTGGGCTTTAAGGTCGGCAGTGAACCACCGTTTGGAGTATGGGGAAGGTCTCAGATCGGGTGTGTGCTTGTCGACTGCATTCGCGGTCGTGTTTGTAAGTCTCTCTACGACTGTGTCTAGCGCCTCGGCTGAGTCTAGCTCCCCGGGTTGCGACTTCTTACAGTCTGTAGCGAAAACAGCTTCCGCCCTGAACACTCAAAATTATTATGAGTGCCCCACTGCCAAGATATTAGCGGGTAGTCTTTAACTCCATGGCCATTTAAAACTGAATGAAAATGACAATACTAAGCCAGCACGATACACCCAGCTTACATTACAGTACCCTTCCCTACCTTCCGCATGTTTTAAAGTAGGTGTGTGACTGGGATGGACATCCGGTATGGCCAATGACAGAAAAGGCCGCTTCTTAACCACAGAACGTGAAACGACTGAAAAAGGCAATCAAATATATGAAGTACAGTAAATATGCTTTCAAGCCGATAATTAAGAATTAAGTGGCTCATGTCCGCATCATCTCAAACTTATGAGTTCATGTTCTGTTTCTAACGACCGATACCAATGGCGAGAATCGTAGCGCCGTTGCCTAAATGGCCGAGGAATTGAGGATAAAGGAAGTATGATTACGTTTGATTAGACTGTGCATTCTATAAGTCTTATAATCTTTTAAACCTCTTGAAATTGGGATCGATAGGGTGCAGATTGATCGGCTCCTCTTTCTAGCAGTATCTGCACGACCTTATCGTGTCCTCCAAAAGAAGCTGCTTGGAGCGCATTTCCGTAGGTTCCACCCTGGGCGTTGACATCGGCTCCTCTTTTTAGCAGTATCTGCACGACCTTATCGTGTCCTTCAGAAGAAGCTGCTTGGAGCGCATTTCCGTAGTGTCCACCCTGAGCGTTGACATCGGCTCCTCGCTCTAGCAGCATCTGCACGACCTTATCGTGTCCTCTAGAAGAGGCTACATAGAGCGCATTTCCGTAGGTTCCACCCTGGGCGTTGACATCGGCTCCTCCTTCTAGCAGTATCTGCACGACCTTGTTGTGTCCTCCAGAAGAAGCTACTTGGAGCGCATCTCCGTAGAATCCACCCTGGGCGTTGAAATCGGCTCCTCTTTCTAGCAGTATCTGCACGACCTTGTCGTGTCCTCTAGAAGAGGCTGCATAAAGCGCATTTCCGTAGAATCCACCCTGGGCGTTGACATCGGCTCCTCCTTCTAGCAGTATCTGCACGACCTTGTCGTGTCCTCTAGAAGAGGCTGCATAAAGCGCATTTCCGTAGAATCCACCCTGGGCGTTGACATCGGCTCCTCTTTCTAGCAGTATCTGCACGATCTTATCGTGTCCGTTCCATGAGGCCCACATCAAGGGGTTTGCTCCTGTATCGTCGGTCGTATTGACATCCTGTTTCATTGTAGCAAGTAGAAAATCAACCTCCTGGTCATGGCCGTTAAATGCTGCCAGGTTGAGCGCCTTCATTAATCGCTGGTTTGTGTATGGCATTACTGCCTTCCAAAAAATAGGAAACCACAAAGAAAACCGTTTTTCACTCATATCATATACTCGACGCAGTCGATCGTTCACTTTTCGGTCTAATGTCGAAGACATCTTCCGTACGTGATCGGCCCAATGTACTGCTGAGTATTGTAAGAGGGCTTGAATATTAGAGTCGCCTTCGTTGTCTTCCAAATCCTCCATTAAAAGGTATCGCAAACAGATGTCGGCCATCTGGTTTTCTGCATCACTCAGACCGCTCCAATATGTAAGATGGAGATTGCCCGAACTTTTCTTTTGGATCAGAAACTCTCTGGCAGTCTGATGGATGAGATAGATTTTGGAGTTGTTAGTAAAGACAAATAAGCCACATAATTGCCGAAGTTTTCTCTGTAAATGGGTTGGATCTAGCTCAGCCTCAATTGTAGTTCGGGCCTCCGAGTAGGTGGCAATGCCTAGCGCCACAGCCATCTCCCATATTGTCAGAGGACGTCGTGCCGCCACGATGATCTCCAAGATCTTTTTGACGGTATCCATTTGATCGACTGGGACTCGACAGAGGATATTTTCGTATGCTGCATTCACAGATGGCGGTATCAGCGTGATGGAACTCTCTGCAGGCCGAAGGCTGCGCTTAAAGGTGGTGCGGATATCATCAATGGCTAGATGTAGCCAGAGATAAGTACGGTGTTCCATTTCAAGCAGCTGCTGTTCGATTCGATGATGAAGCTCTAGTGACAGTGGCACTGTCTTAGCGAGTTCTCTCACCCTAATACTCACCACTAGATCAATTTCCTCATGAATTCGGTCATTTTCTTCCTCCCCCTTGATGTGTACTTGCGGGAAAGAATCAGTGGTTGCTCGAAAATTATCCTGTATATGATCGTAGGGACGACTAGTGACCAGGAATTTCAAACAGGTACCCGCCGTTAATAAAGTGGTTTGGTGATAAAAGAACTGGAGCTTCTCAATCAATCGCCCCTGATCCTTTTCACAACATTCATCCAGCGCATCGAATATACAAACTGTCTTGTGTGGAACATCAGCTGATGTGGCCGCTATGAAGATCCGCCAGAGCTCATCGGCCTCTTGTTGGAGTTTCTCTTTATTCTTCTCCCAGGACGGTATAGCATAAGGCAAGAGATAAGGACGCTGGCTGAAGAGTTGATGTAGTACCGAACACAAGGCTATATCAAGACGGTTCTGGTTGTCGTTGTCTTTGAAGAAAAAGAAGCATATGGTCACTCCTGGACTTGAAGCCCTCACTTGATCGTCGACGATCGATCTGGCCAGCACAGACTTCCCGCAGCCTGGGTCGGCTGATACCCATAGAAGATCATTGCAGCGGCTCTCCCACCAGCGATTATATTCAGGACTCTGTAGGGCCCACTCGCACGTTCCCTCCACTCTTTGCGGATTGATGTTCTTTTGCTCCTCATAATTGGTTATCTTGAACACTTGATGACAATGTTGTTGCTGATCTGTCAAAGCCCTTGTTTTCTGCTCATTGTGGTGTTGTTCTTGTTGATCGTATGCTCGGTCTAAGCGCTTGTTGGTGCCTTCGATTTCTTCTTTTAGACTCGCTTATTATACAAGTCAACCACTCGTCATTCAATACAAATCAATTCAAGATATTACTTACAACACACATCTACCACCAAATTCTCTTGTGACACATGGGTTGTAGGTATATACCCTAACAGCTCCTTAGCATATGATGCTGCTGCCAAGGCCGCATATCCTTGCCATTCCTTGTTCTTATGCGTATCGGCGTAATCACAGATACCACGGACGACAATGCAAGGGAAGTCCATCATCAAGCCAGCTGCCTCCATCTCAAAGCACAATGCCCCGGTGTTTAGCCTAAGCTGCTCGCGTGTGTATCCATCCTTGATAACAGCATTTCCAGATGCAATGATACCGTAGTGTGATTGTGGATCACTAGTCTCACGTTCACTTCGTGTTTCTTCCCATACTGCTAGGCATCCATCACAAGTGCTCGCAGTCGTAGGATGAACGTGTTCAAGTTTGAAAAGCCGGTCTTGTTGTGGTCGGTCGAAGTTCTTCCGAGTGCGTACGGTTCTAGCGATCGCCTTAAGGAGATATTCAGGATAGCGCGGATCATCCGTGAGCTCGGCGGCCCTCATCAAGTTGCTTGCTGTTAACAGGGCCTTAGGAGGGCTGTTTAAAGAGCCAGTTCGATGAAACTCTCCTTTCGTACCGACTTTGCCCATATCGTATTGAAGCACTCCGCCAGAAGTGCCTTCAGGGAAGCTAATTACAACATCACCAAGCCGAATATCATGAGCAGCCGACGGAATTCCACCACCAACACCGACCATCAGTCCAATCCGGAGGGATTTCGAAAAGGTGCGAACCATATTATTCGCAACAGTTGTGGCCGATGTAGTTCCATATTGGCCGCCTGGAAGGCAGGCGATCACGACGTGGTGGTTGCCGATTCGACCTAGGGCATAGGTATTTGAGTCGCTTGGATCTTGCGCGTCGAGAATACCAAAGCTTTCATCTAGCATTTCCTTGGCGGCGGCAGCCTCGATCGCCAGGGCACATATCCAACCGATCTGGAACCTTTCAAGTGGGGGGTGGGCCATCTCGGAGACCTGGTCTAGTCAAGATAGGAATCAAAGGTATGTAGGTGACGACCAATATTAGAAAGATGGCAAAAGAGATTTAGAGATATTGATGTATTATTTGCTATATCTCGATGAGAAGAATACCGAGATGACATGGGAAACAGAACAGACGCCATTGTCAGCCGGGCTCAGCTTCGTGCTCTAAAAACGCGGCGCAGTAGCGGGCGGCAAGAGATAAAATACCATTGGCCGGGTGGAGGTTATGTGATGTGGGGTATCACGTGGTGGAACATGGAACGTGGTCCGTCCCACGCCGTTCCTTGAGCAGCAGCAGTGGTACGGGTATGGCGCCGAGACTTGAGCCATGGCAGCACGAGCTCATTCGTGACATGATCCAAGATCGCGAGCCATTCACTAACGCACAGATCGCCGAAGCTGTTCGCTGCACCCCACGGTCCATCAGAGCCATCCGGTCGAACCTCAGGTGCTTTGGAAATGTCCGAGCCCCCGCCAATGGTATCGGTCGGCGACGAAGCATCACCCCACCCATGTTAGAAGCTCTCCGCGAACATCTCTTCGAAAAGCCAGATCTATACCAGGATGAGATGGTGGTGTTTTTGTGGGATGAATTCCGTGTGCTTGTAACAATCTACAGCATTGGCAGAGCACTAGCGTCGATTGGTTGGACTAAAAAGGCAGCACGGAGAATAGCACGGGAACAAAATGCCGACTTACGAGACTACTACCTTCATTCAATATCGTCTTTCCGATCCTATCACTTAGTGTATGTGGATGAGTCTGGCTGTGATAAGCGAGCAGGATTTAGAAGGACTGGCTGGTCTCCTTCAGGGGTGACACCTGTCCAGATTTCTCAATTCCAGCCAGCGATACCAGATATTGCCCGCGTATGCCCAAGATGGTGTCGTCCTTTCGCGGGTTTTCCGGGGATCGACGGATGCTGTTGTTTTCGAGGATTTTATACGACAGCTCCTACATCACTGCGGGAGGTGGCCGGAACCGAAATCTGTTATTGTCATGGATAATGCATCTTTCCACCGGACAGAAAGCATCAAGCAGATGTGTTCTGCTGCTGGGGTCAAATTGGTGTACCTACCGCCCTACTCCCCAGATCTTAATCCGATCGAGGAGTTCTTTGCTGAACTCAAAGGGTTCATTAAACGACGTTGGCTATCTTATGCACAGAGCCCTGATCAAGGTTTCAATACTTTCCTTGAGTGGTGTGTTGATGTTGTAGGTGCGAGAGAAAAAAAGCGCACAGGGCCATTTTCGGCATGCAGGTTGGAGTATTGAGAAGCCTTAATATTTGATTATAAATTCAGTACATCTTTGTCTCCGATAAGCACACCAAGTACTATAGTACAAAAACATGATGATGCTTTATATGAATTCAGCAATAGATCCACTTTCCATGTTGTTATGCTCCGCTAGGGTTTCTATAAGAACACTACTTAGGTAAGAGCCGGTATGTGTATATGTGTACCATGAAGCGGCTTAAACCCAAGAAGTACCTCACGATAAACCCAATCACTGTCGATAAAATAGCCAGTGATAGCCATAAATGCCTGCGAGAATGGAGATGTTTAGCAATCAAGCGCAATGGATACCTTTGAGCTAGAAGGTAGCGTACGAAGAATACGCTGTTGCCGGTCTTTAACTAGATTGCTCAATCGGCGACGGATGGTATCGGCCGACGGGATCACTAGAGGGGCTGGGGCGGAACGAGCTTTATGGATGATGCGTTTGAATGATGGATGCTCGATCAGATGGAATGGTAGCCGGTTGAGAGTAAGAAATTGTAGGATATCCTCTTCCCAATCTTGTTGTAAGAAGGGTATGCTTGCTGAAATTTCTCCCTTTAGTAAAGTAATAATAAATTAGCATGGTTATATGGTTTTGTGATAATAACATATACCTCTTTTTGTAGAAATTTTGTAATCTCTGCTTTCTTCCCCTTCTCCGACCGTAAACATCCAGCCGTTTTTCGATGTTTCTGGATTGTTGATGTGCCATGGTACTGCGCTTTGCCTGTACTATTCGGGCTCAGGGAATAAGGATGCTCTAGGATCTTTCCACAGCGCTTACACATAGCCTTTGGTGCGCCATCCACACCCTGAGCTACCTGATGGTAGCTATTCCAGATCTCTGTATGGCGGTTCGAATCCCAT